ACACCGTAGTCACCAGAGCTTCAGCCAAATTAGGCAAACAGGTGAAGGTGATGGAATCTCGCATACCGGTCTTGAAGACCAGAGTAAATATTCCCTGCGTGAACAGATTGTCCATGTCGCCGCAGTCCTACAGTGAAACTGTGAAAAGTCAACTAAGCGGATGTGGCTCCATCCCTGTTAACACGACTGAGTAAGTAGAGGCGAGTGGCAAATCTGCACAAAGTGGGAATAGTATGACACCCATATCCACAGTAGGCCTTGAAACAAACAGGAAGGCCAATAAGAAACGTTCACGACGTCGCAAGACGACGAAAACGTTCCCCAAGAAGGCAGACGATTGCAAGGTCTGCAATTCTATTGTCGAACAAGTAGACTCTGCTTTCGAATGCAACTTTTGTAAGCAATGGGTACATTGTAGATGTGACACCGGAGTACCAAAGGTATATTACGATATTATGCGTAAGAACCCATGCCCATGGTTCTGGTACATTTGCCCAAGTTGCCGTCCTAATGCAGCCTCGTGTAGTTCCTCGAAAGCTACAGATGGCATAGAGATATCAGGAAAAAACGTGAAACGTTTTACTCCCACCAACTCAGAAAACAGCACAATTGCATGTAAATCGGGGATACCAAAATCCACACCGGTTATACTTGCAATTCCTGCCATAACTACCCCAGACACAGAGGCTGAAGCACCAAGGGTACCTGTCTCTGGGAAAAGACCCTTACCGTCCACCAGTAAAAGTGGCCACAGCACTGCGACACATAATAATACCCAGTTGCACCAGACGAAACAAAACGGTCTTAAGGGGGATGACAAATGTGTGAGGACCGAACCTAAATCCACGGTTAGTCGATCAAACCGCGTTATCCTCTTTAATGTACCAGACTGTAGCAGTAGTCTGCTGGAAAACAGGGCCCTGTTTGATCAGGAACAGTGGTCCAACTTATGTAGCACACTGGGTCTGGACATCCAACCAGTAAAACTGTGTAGATTGTATATGGGCACTGCTGCTCCTCAAGGCAAACCATCCCCACTGAGGGTAACACTAGGCTCTACCGAAGATGCCGAAAAAGTTTTATTGACTTCCCAAGTCCTTTCTATATGGAGGACCTGCAATATACGTGTTAGGCCAGATGGGCCATGGAAGGAAAGACAGATGGCGAGGGAGTCGCCAGAGCTTATTCCTTCTGCCTCTATGGTTGTCCACGGCATTCCCTAACTAGGAACTGGGAACGCTTGTGAGAAGCACTGTCACGATGTACAGCAATGGAGATGGTTGGCATCCCAGATGGGTCTGGGAAGTTCAGGGACTGTCTCTATTTTTAGACTGCCTCGACCCACTCACCTAATGTCAATTAACACTCCACGTCTGTTAGCTGTTAAGTTCAGCTCCCGAGACCACTTGACTACTGCTCTCCAGAGATGGTACGAGACCAAGGACAAGGTCAGCAGACACATTCGCTGCTGCGAGAGCCGGCCTCGTACCCAAAGGAGAGAACAAAACGTTGTCATAGAACATCCCCAACCCCTAGTCACAATACAGCGGTGCAGCACGGACGATGATAGCCAGTGTCATCCAAGTGCTCCGATTGAATCAGAAGAAAAAAACGCCAACAGGCCGGTTCCCGGGGAATCGGCCAACTAGTTCGTAGGATAACTCCTCAACCGACAGCCCACATCAAGTCAACCACCCCCCAATACGGGGACGTGGTGAGACTGACTACCAGTTGCCTGTACAGTAATGTGAGAGGGCTAAGAGGCAAAATAGCTGAACTTAGATACCTACAATCACAGCTGAACTCCAAAATCATAATACTGACGGAAACCTGGCTAACCCCTACGGTGGCAGACAGCGAAGTCAGTATAAATGATATGGTCCTAGTCAGGCGAGATAGGGATCTGAAAGAAGGAGGTGGAGTCGCCATATACGTCGACAAACAGCTCAGATGTGTCCATGCAATCGACCCTCCCCTCATTGAGCTCCCTGACTCCATATGGTGCCATTTCACCGTTGGGTACTGTAAGTATCTAGTGGGCAGCATTTACAGATCACCTTCATGTGGAGCAGACCACAACCAGGTACTGCTGAATGCAATTTCAGCGACACAAGACGTGGGTTATGGTCAAATTGTCATAGCTGGAGACTTCGATGCCCCATCTCTTAACTTGATGACGGGATGTGCCCAGGACAGATTTGATCGAAATCTGCTGCATACCATCAGGGAGGCCGGATTCACCGAAAATGTCAGAATGGATACGAGATGGGGCCCAGATGGGAAGTCTTCTAGACTGGATTACGTGCTCACTAGTGACCAGCTACTAGTGGAAAACGTTCAGATCACGACTCCCATAGGTAGTAGGGACCACGCGGTCATAACATTCGACATAGTCCTCCGCGAGCGTTTACAGTGGGACAATACACAGCCCTATCTGTGTTATAACAAAGCCAATTACACCGAAATGTGAAGACTTTTGTCTGAAGCAAATTGGCCAAAAAATTGGACAGAGCTTACAGTAGAAGAACACTGGGGAGTGGTAAAGGAGATCATTCACCAGGCGGTCTCAGACACTGTTCCTTTAGTTACACCTAAAGCTAGAAAGCAACGTTCGTGGCTAAAAAGGGGGACACAACGCCTTCTACAGGCGAAGCGAAAAGCCTGGTTTGCGTGGCGAGTATCACAGAGTCAACCCGAACATGAAGAGTACCTCGAACTCAGGAATCGGTGTAACATACGAGTCCGGAGTGATAGAAGGACATTTCAGAGAAACCTCGCCAATAAGCTTCTCGTGAACCCCAAAAGCCTATACAGGTTTATGTCTGAAAGAAAACCGACCAACCAGGGAGCTTGCAATATGGTGGGTTCTGATGGGAAATCTCTTACTAGTCTTGAAATGGCAGAGACATTCAGTCTAGCCTTTCACAGGCAACTGAACAGTAATGAGGATTTTACCCCCACAAAACATCAAGATTACAATGCAAGACCAACGTGCGAAAACCTGCTGGGTACATTTCAAATTACCCCGGCTATGGTACTCGTAAAATTGGGAAAGTTGGCTTCGGGAAAGTCTGCAGGTTGCGATGACATAAGACCATCCGTCCTGAAGCAGTGTTCAGAAAGTCTCTGCCAACCCCTAAGTGATCTGTTTCAACGCTCCTTTGATGTAGGGAAACTTCCATGTGAATGGAAACGAGCCACCCTATCCCCTATCTTCAAGGGTGGTGACCGGCAGAACGCGACCAGTCACAGACCAGTTGCGCTACTCCCAGTGATATCGAAGATATTGGAAAGTCTCATTGACGACCACATGAGAAAATACTTCGACGGGACTAACCTACTCCATGAAGCACAGCACGGTTTCAGGAGGGGAAGATCCTGTGTGACGAATCTTCTACTAGCTTGGAACGATTGGACACTATCCTGGGATGTAAAGGTACCAGTCCATGTGATCTTTCTCGACTTTGCGAAAGCATTCGACACAGTTCACCATGGTCTGCTCCTTCACAAAATAAGCAAAGCGGGTGTTTCTGGAGCACTTCTCGCATGGCTGAAAGATTACTTAGGTGAGAGAGAATTCTGCACCAAAGTCAACCGCATCCGATCATCCTGGCACACCTCAGCATCAGAGGTTCCTCAGGGTTCTATCTTAGGGCCGTTAATGTTTTTGATTTTTATCAACGACCTGCCCTGTCAACTGAATTGCTCTGCGCTTCTTTACGCTGACGACGTAAAGATTTGGAGAGCAATAAACTCATCGGAAGACTCCGACAGATTGCAGGCTGACCTGCAAACTCTAGGAGACTGGGCTCTGGCTAACGGAATGCCTTTCAACTTAAAGAAGTGCAAGGTAGTGCAACTTCATTCCGGCAGGTCACAGAGTGCAAATTACACCCTTGGTGTCCAGAACTTGAGTTGTGTGCCATCAGAACGCGATCTAGGCCTTATTTTAACAGAAAAGCTAGACACCAGTGTAAATTACACGAGGGACGTCACCAAAGCTTACGCCACTTTACACTTTATGTATAGGCAGCTGGGAGCTCTTACTCCTGAACTATTCCTAACGTTGTATACGACATACGTGAGGCCACTCCTTGAGGTGCATAATATCATTGCTCCTCCGCTACTCAAAAGGGATGCTAACATGCTAGAAAGTGTCCAGAGACGCGCGACAAAATGGGTGATCGGCCTCCGCAACAAATCATATGAGGAGAGACTGAAGAAACTAAGTCTTTTCACACTTAGTTACCATAGTCACAGGGGAGACCTCATCACCGTCTATAAGATCTTAAATGACCAGGCCCACCCTAATAAGAGCATCCTGCCATTAAGTGATTATAGGCTTCCATGAGGTAACTCGCTAAGGATAGCACACCAGAGACCAAGGACTCGAGTGCGTTCACATTTCTTCTCGCTTCCAGTTTGCCGTCTCTGGAACGCTTTACCGGCGGCCGTGACTACAGCGCCATCTGTGGAGACTTTTAAGCGGAAGCTGGACAATCATGCAGAAATGCATGGTTTGTGTCTCAATGGCTTACCCTCTTAAAATTTGAAACCACATTGTCAATGGATAAGCATACAAGGTAAATCCCCACGACCCGTCCTGTCTTCTCCCACTGTACTGACTACCCTATCTTTTCTTTCTTTCTTTATTATTTCACTTATCTCAACCTGTATTATCTACACTACAACCTATTATTATTATTACTATTCTACTTTTATGACTATACCGAATGACCAACGGGTGTTAGGTCAAACTCCATTCACGGCAGCAGCTGAGTCCTAGCATACTGCACACTACAAACCACAATCTTGACCAATCCTCGCACCACTCCTCTTGGAGTCTACCAGAACTAAAGCAGTCGAGTGGCGGGATTTACTACGCATAATTTCACCGAAGATCTGGAACCTCTACCTTACAATCAAGAAGCGAGCTCAAAGAAATCACTGGTTTATACTAGCTCGTGATCAGGATATTGGATATTGTTATCACCTGTGAAATTACAGCTGCGGCACTTTCAAAAGTTATTTTATTTTCTGGAAGCACTTTAGTCGGTTGCTCGAATAACTGACCACACATACGATTATGACAGAGGAAAGAGGTGTTGTTTCCGTGGATTTAAGCATTGAATTCAGTGAATTAGTTCGATATCGAAGCCTAAAGAGTTGGCAGGAGTGTGAAGAGTGTATCCGGCGCTTCGAAGAGGTGACTCGCTTATACAATTCCACAAATTACTTGACTGTTTTCTACAGAAGACTGGTAGCTCTTACGAAATATGCGATAGCCGGGTTTATCGTAATGAAAACAACATGGTAGATCCAGCATATAAATACTTATATGTTGTATTTTGCTGTCACGGTGATCGCAGAAAAAAATGGGAAAGCAGGCAAAGAGAAAAATCACAGTGAGTAATGTAAGACGTGCAGACTTCATATTTTAGGTCGAAGTGCATGGAGTGTCTATCCACCTTCAGAATTCAGCTTGAATTTGGGCAGTATAAAGTAGTGGAGCCCATCAACACTGTACATAACCATGCGTTGACGAGGGAGCTAATAATGTCTGTGGAGCCAGAAATTCCAAAACTCAGTAGTAAACAGCAATTACAAGTGCTCCCGTCCATTGAACGAAGTGAACCTCGAGCACAAAAGGTCAACATGGTTGACGTCGAATTCGGGAACCATATGACGGATGATGAATATCGGCATTTTCACGAAATTGTCTACCCCAGTAAGTCATTTAATTGCTTTAATAGTCTGTATAGGAATGTGTAGTATGGATACGCTCATAAGCGAAATTCGTGAGACAGGCTCAGTATGGTACAAGATGGATAACCAGCGAAATATCGAGAAGTTTAGTTTCGCAACCAAGGAAATGATAACTTTGTATAAAAAATTTCCTGAAGTTGTTGGTATGAACTCAACGTACATTACGAATAGAGAAGGGTAGGCATACAATACAAAACACTTTATTTGCAGTTATCTTCTATACCAACTGGTTATTACTGATGGGCTGAATAGAAGTTGTACTGTAATGTACAGTATAACTCATTGTGATCGACTGATTGATGTTGAGGAAGTCTTACAATCCTTCAAGCATATTATGGGTGATACATCACAGACTGTTACATTTGTCATTGACGAAATTTCTACAGGGCTATGCGCCATTCGTAGTCAGTTCCCTGCCTGCTCTATTGTATTATGTGCATACAGTATCATCAGGACCTTCAATAATAAAGTAATTGGTGCTTCTAATAACTGGATTTATTTAAGTTCCCTGATGCTGAATGCAGAAGTAAATTTAAAGAAATGGTGTACACTCGTAAGAGGGACAGGTAATTATGTAATCAGATTAATTGTTTCATAGATTTTATGTACTGAAAGTATTGATGAGTACAGAGCATCCTGCGGCGATATCCTACATCAATACAAATTTATGGAGTTGTCGCCATTTGTGGGCGTCCTGTTTTAATGCACATATCGTTACCCTTGGCAATAAAACTAATAACAGATTTGAGTGCTGTCATGGGCACCTCAGGAAAAATCTAAGTAACAAGCCTAAACCACTGGAATTGACCATTCGTGAAATTTGGGAGTGTTCAATTGAGTCATCAAGACGAAAGGCTGTTGAAGGGAATCGCAATCTTCGTTACTTTATAAAATTTGACGTAACTCCTATAGTTAACTAAAATGGTTTTTCAGGTGGATGAAGGTCTGTCTAGCATACTTAGGCGTTTAACCTGCTACGCTGCCTATTCGCTTTACAAAAGTATCAAGAAGCATACTGATATGCAGGTGACCGGATCCACAGAAGTAACTGTAGTATTTAAAGACGGTGGTAGACAATTCTTTGTAGACAAGCATGATTGCAAGTGCTCGTGTTTCCAAAACACAAATATGCTGCTACCATGCCGTCACTTAGTTTATACTTTCCTTCATATATATCCAAGACTAGGTAAGTTAATATAAATGTCAAATAAATTTGTAAAAGATTTATTTAGACATAGCACCAGGTGGTTAAGAGACTATAACTACACTGTCATCGAATCTCAGCCAACAGCAAATGAAGACACAGACTTGGAAAACCTTATACAGGGGATATCATATAAAGTGCGGAACCTTGGACAGACTCATCCGGGAAAATATAGGGATATGTTCCTTGAGATATACTCTTATCTACGCGAAGTATGCATGCAGCCAGATAAACATTCATCTACATCACCATCGGACCGATGAACTTGTATCCTTACTTCCTTTACCTTTGTATATTTTTTTATTTCTTGGTGCCTTTCCTTGTCTGCTTATAATTACGGAATGTACATAATCTTAAAGAAAACCTTAAATAAATTTTTCTATAACTACCGGTCTTTCTTGTCTAATTGTAATTTACCGAAAATTCGTTGCAACGATTAGACGAATAGATTGTAGAATAGTATGTTCTGTGGATGCAAACCTTAAGTATTGTGTTTCAAATTTGTATTTGTCATGCATCTAACTGTGTAGATATACTTTTCTCCTCATGGTATATATTAGGACATCTAGGAGATATTAAGCAAATATAGAAGAACTCATTATTCCTGCGACTTGTAGCTTCCAGTACACATAACTCGTCCAGGTCATATTAGTTGAATTATGCGTTTGGAAAATAATTCATCACAAAACTGTGAATTCACAATGAGATTTCAACTTAATCTGAAGGGCATGTTCCCCTGGGTTCTGAGTGGAACATAGGGCTTCAAAAGCATATCTCCACTCTGTCCTGTTCTCTGCAGTTCTCTTCAGCTACCACCGAGATTTTCCATAGTCTCTCATCTCCATGCCACCCTGGGACAGACACCTATATCGTCGTTACCCATTTGGGTTCCATTCGAGGGTTGACCTGGCGCGCGTGTGGTCATCCGATGGCCTCCTCAGTGTGTGTCCGATCCATCTTCATTTTCTCTGGAATATTCGTTAAGCATGAGGTATTTAGTTTGTTCCACTGTAGAGTTTCTTGTTGGTAATTCTTTTCTGTCATCTGACCTTCAATATGGAGCCAGCGAAGTTTTCCATCTGTTGAAGTGATCACCATGTACGTAGAGAAAATCGAAGTTATACGTTATAAGTGAAAATTGGTGAAGTTAAAAACCCTGGATTTACAGTGTATGCAGAAGTCGAACTAGCCTTTTTTGAACATAGCTCCGGTTTCTGTATGCAAACATCGAAACCTTCTACAGTACAATGAATTCAGAAGAGAACTGTCTTCGGCAGATTCATGTTAAACTTGTGACTACGAGTGATGCGTCAGTTGACATTTTGTAGTAATTCTAAAGATAACTGTAATTGCATTGGTTGTATAAATACTTTCTTGTAGATGTGGACTTACTCACTTTCCTTGGCGACAAGATAGTCTTTTTTATCGAGAGACTTCTTGGGATATTCACTTTTACTTAGTAATTCAAAGAGGACATTAAATTACTCACTAAGGTAGGAGTTTGAGGTGACTGCTGTACCCTTACGAACGAGACATTTCACTCGGTTGCCGTTTACTTTAAAATTTATGCTTATTATTCATACGGTCCTTTATTTTATTTTTCCATTTTCGTTCCTATCCATCGAAAAATCTCCCCTTATTCTATCAACAAGTCATTGTTACTTTTAAATATATTAGTAATATATCTACTCCAACTATTCGCATGTAAACGATGACAATCACATTATCACTTTTTTGAAGTTTTAGTTTTCAAAATATGAATTGTGCTTTACCTAAACATCTGATCGAGAAGACAGGAATACTTTAGACGGATAAGAAGACTCTAGATGATCAGAATTTCGCGGATGACTTATATCTAATGTCAAACAAACTCAGAAGACTTACAGGCAACATACTGTTCGCTTTTTTTAGGATATGTGCAGATCGAAAAGTCATAGTTGAGTATTCATCTTGCTGAGGAGTGTTCAAACTCGTGGTTTGCATATGCTAACATTTAATTATCTGTTTTTACTAAGGTCCTTTGTATTTCAGCATTATTATAATTGTATTAATTTCACCATAATAACACCAATTTATATGTGAATATGTACTTTGATGAATATTATTCACTTAACCAGGTGACGTATGCGGCGACGGACTAGTACCCACTGCTGAGTGATAATGTAAGCTTTTTTACTTATTGTTTTATTCCTTTACGTCCCCAGTGAAACATATGGCTTCAAGCTAGAGCCTTGAAGTTTTGGTAGCAGTGGTGTTTAGTTTTACGGGATGGGGTTGCTAGCCTCATACCCAACGTTTCCTCTTTACCAGTCTTATTACTGGCTTAGTGAGGTAAAGGAGTGCGTCAGTGGCCGGGGATCGAACCCCGGACCACCTGCTTGGTTGGCGAACATTCTGCCAATGTGTCACCGACGCACACACAGCTTTAGTCTAGTAATTTTTAGAGAATTAGACACCAATACAAATCCTTTCTCCTGTTCTCCTATTGTGTACATTTGTTCCTTGTACATGTTGACTAACATGAGTTTGAGACTTGTCCAATTCCGGCTGTCTTGATAATCAGATTTTCTAATGTAAGGAAACTATATTTTCACAATTAATAACTAATTCCTCCGGAATTCTCATGAAAAGAAGGGTTTGTAGTGTACTTTTCGCGTCACCACAATAAACAAATGAACCTAAATTAACTTAATATTAACTAAGTAAATGTTCCAGTCCACCTGCTGTGGAGGCTTTAGGTGTTTTAAGTTTTGTCTTAACGAGTACACATCCGACCGTGTTTGGACAACATTTATGTGGTTCTCCTATGTGCACACCCTCTGAATACGTAGTTCAAACATACTGGCCAGAGATGAATCCTAAAATCTCCCCCCTCCAGATAACCTTAGCATTTGATTCTATTTAAGTATAAAAGTAGTCTCCTAACACTGCCACAAACTGCTTTCTACTACTCATGATGACATCTCAATTAGTTGGATCATACGACATTTATTGAACTGTGATCATGCGGTGACGTTGAGTAAAAGCTTTATAGTTGTTAATAAGTAAAGTAATAAAAAATAACTCTTGGTTTTGCTGGAGCCTGAGCAATCAGATTAAGGAAGCCGGAAGGAGACAGTAGCTAATGTAAATCTACGTTTGTAGCATACTTTTATTTTACTTTTATAATATTCCTTTCCTTCTCTATTCTCTTAACAATTTTCTCCCATTATGATTATAATTATCATCATCATCAGTAGTGGTAGTGTGGTGTGTGCTACTGATGCTGCTGCTGCTGCTGGATTCAACATAGAACTTGGCACCGAAGTGCAGCAGTGCTACTGATACGATTTATCAGTAGGATATGAAGTGATGTTCATTGGCATAAAAACATCAATTAGCAGTAATATATATTTGATCCACAACGGGAAACTTACGGAACCTTTCGAAGTGAGAACAGAAGTAAGACAACGCTGCCTACTATCGCCAATGATTTTCTTGATTGCAGTAGACTGGATAATGCGACAAACAGTGAGCAATGAGGAAACAGGCATAAAATGGACACACGCAAAAAACTTGAAGGATCTGGACTTCGCCGATGATATATGTCTGATTTCCCACAAACTGGAAGACATGCAAACGAAAAGCAACAAGTTAGCAGAAGAAGCATCAAAGATAGGACTTCAGGTGAACATAGATAAAACAGAGGTGATGAAAATTCCTGGGCAACACCACCAACAGCAACAACAACAACTGACAACAATCAGTATAAATGGGAGGAACCTGAAAGCAACAACCCTTTTTTACCTACCTACCTGGGAAGCATCGTTTCAACTACAGGCCGGAGGAAGTGACGAGGATATCAAAGCAAGAATCGGAAAAGCAAGACAAGCTTTCACTACTCTCAAGTCTGTGTGGAGGTCAACAACACTCAGCATCAAAAATAAGATCCGGATTTTCAACTCCAATGTGAAGTCAGTGCTAGTCACTATACGGATCAGAGACTTGGCCAGCGCGTCATAAAGAGCATCTCAAACAGACTACAGACCTTCATTAACAGTTGTCTTCGCTCAATACTCAAGATCAGATGGCTGGCCAGAAAAGATCAGAAACAGGGATCTCTTTGAGTGAACCAACCAGGAACCGATTGTGAAACAAATAAGCAGGAAGAAATGGAGATGGATTGGCCATACTCTGAGGATACCATCAAGTGACATCACTAGACAAGCCATTGCTCGAGTGGAACCCGAAAGGGAAGCGGCGAGTTGGTCGTCATTGCAAGGGTGACTTGGAGGAGGTCATGTGAAGAGGAGATGAAAACGTGTGGGCAGACTTGGAGACAGGTGAAGACTCTAGCAGAGAACAGAACGCAATGGAGACGCACGGCTGAAGCCCTATGTTCCTCTAGGAATTAAAGGATACAATAATAATATAATTTCAGAGAAGGTAAATGATACAGCATTGTGGAGATACATGGGAGACGTGAAACGAACACAAAGAAACACAATGTGAAGAAAGGGCAGAAGTAGCAGGTGCAACACGCAAGATCTGTCTAAATAGTGCGTTGAAGATACAGTATACATAATTTGCATAAGCCAGTTTACGCCGCCTCTGGCGTAGACGAAATATCCATCTGGCCACCGACCAAAGGGCCTGTTTACTGCGCAGCAGTCCGTTCCGTCCTCCTGTATGACTGTAAGACCTGGTCATTGAGAGTGGAAGACATGAAATTTCCATATTATTTTTTTATTAGATATATCACACAGTGAAACAGTATTATTTACTGGATGACGTTTTGAACAAAATTTATTGTTCATAATCATATCATCAATTATAATCAAACGACTTCGAAACTTGAGTTTTATAGTTTTCTTTGTCCTCTCCTATTTGTCGTCCTAGGGCTAGTAGAATTTTCCAGATATCTGGGACAGGTGATGAATCATTCCTATTACATGTATATGAAGTTGATTCGATAAATAAAGCTTCTGTTATCAATCTCTCCCTCCACCCTGTAACATTAGATTTTAAAACTGTCATCCTATCCCATCCTACTGTATGGTTGTGTGCAACTGCATGTAGTGAGTGCTATAGCTGAACCATTCTCTAGATTTCTTATCTTATTTGGGTCAACTAATCTAGATTTTGCTAGGTTTTTATGTTCTGCTAGTCTGACTGCCCCTGTTCTACCAGTTTGACCTATGTAATTGACCTGACAAACATTGCAGGGTATTAGATAAACTAAATTGTTTTGTTTTAAAGGCTCCATAGGATCCTCTAACCGACAAAGCTTCTTTCTAATTCAGTTTGTGGGTTTGAATACCACTTTTATTCCTGCCTGCATTATTAGGAATTCTCCACCGT